TTACACAGGAATTCTCTACTTATTGGTCATCATGCCACTATACTTCCTCCCATCAGTCACAACACTCAAACGCATCTTCTTTTATAATGCATCTTTGTCATTTTACAGTTTATTTGTATAACCTCCAACATAAATCTTGTACACACGAGTGTTTATTTTGGGGTCCACGTTCATGATCATTGGTGTTACGGGTATTTCTCTTTTTGTGATAATCGTTTACGGGCGGAGGAAGTGGTATCAAGGGCATTATGGTAATGTTTTGTTCGTGGATCGGATGGTTATGGGTATTTTAAATGTTTTATGTATTATTTTGGTCGATGGATACACAATGTTGTGTGAGTGGTGTCTAAAACAAGCGAGACATGTTTGGCGAATATTGGGTATTGTGCTTATTGGAGTTTAAGGTTTTTCGACCACAATATGTTGCATTTCGCAACTCATTGTGAGGTGGCAAGGGTATCATAAAAGCCAGGTTCGTGTACAAGCAATAACCAACTCAATTGAAGCAGCTTGATTTTAGGAGCAAGTAGCAAAATTTTGGGACATGGAATTCAAGATTCTTTCCTAAAAGTTTCTTAAAAAAAAAGAGTGCATGCATCAATACATTTATCATCGACGGGAACGAGACTCCGTCAAACCGATGTGGAACTATAATATGTTCTTGAGACAGATGTTCAATGAATGAGGCTAGATTGGTATTAATTCAGGAGACTGGACTAAATTGGTATGATTAAGGTGGAAACCTGAATCTTCACTTTTAGTCGGATTTGTGTTTGCAACAATATTAATAAACTTTAAATTTTAAATTAACCAATATTTGGTATTTTACATTATATAAGTCTTATATCACAAGTTTGTTTGGATAAAGGGTGTCTATCATTAGTTATATTAGTTATAGGACATGGTAACGTAATTGTGTAATGTTGTATTGTAAACAAGACTAATGAGGTTTGGAATTTGCTTATTTAGAACAACTTATCTTTTTTTAACAAAAATGTTTAATAGTTTATCCGGTGCCAAAACAGAGTTTTATAGATCAATCATCCTTACTATGTGAACTTGTGTCTTCATTTGCTTCACTATTGCTATCACATCCTTAATATCAAACGTCAATTTGAAAATTAAGATTTGTGTTACGCCTTGTCATATGTTTCGTCAAAACTACCTAATATAATTATGAATCGACATTGATGCTAACACAATCTACAATTGTGTCTTGTGGGTGCAATTTACATGTCATATATTTTAATATCGTCCACCTAGCATTTCATACTCTAAAACTCCATTCAATAACATTTATTAATGATAAGTGATAATAGTTGGATATCTCTTTTACTCCATTGGGAGCATCGTACAATATAAACTCATTAAACATATTATGATCCCAAATAGTTTTTTTTTTTGGATCCGAGGAGAAATATCATTAAAAAAGGCAGATGCCTAGCTAGGATCTAGACACCGAAAAAGCAAAGATAAAAATATATGCAAAGATAAAAATATATACAACTGAAAGGGAAAATGTTTGTGATTTTAGTATCATCAGGTCATTTTTTGTAATTGAAACTTACATGTAATCTAAGGAGATTCATAATTTGTACTCTAATATATATTTGGGTATATGCGGAGTGCATGCATTTATAAGATCGAATTGAAAACCGATTCAACGACAGATCGGGGTCTGAGGGCAGCGCCCCTGGGTCCGGGGTTTCCAAAAGGGCAACGCCCCTTTGGCAAGGTCTAGGGGCAGCACCCCTAGCGGGGTCCCACTTATCATTTTCTATATAAACGACTCTCCTTTTGAGGGTGATTATGATAAAACTGACTAAGATCATGAATTTTGGAAACCATTGATTTCCTCATTAGTTCTGGATTCCATTGACTTGTTTCCAAAGCAACCCATGATGGTCAACCCTACTTATCGTTTTCTATATAAACAACTCTCCTCTTGAGGAGAAGACACGACCTTTTTAGCTCTCGTTTCTTCATACGAACTCAAAATCTTTTAGCAATTAAGTTTATGTTTTTTGTGCCTAGATTCGTAAGTGTTCCCTTAGGATTATCTTAGACTAAGTTTCTTGTAACCCGATCATAGGGTAGAAATATCAGTTCAGAAAGTGTTTACACGATCCAAAGAATAACCAAATCTTCACTATAACACTACCCAGTTTTCTAAAAGGAGATACACAATCTATCCGAGTTAATGTTTTCATTCATCCCCTTATGCTTCATCCACATGAACACCAAAGAAATTTTGTTGTAAAAAATCATCGAGGGGAGGGGGTGTATTCTTTTAAAAACAGAATCGTTTCTCGCCTTCCAAATACTCCAAAATACACCATAACAAATTGCCTTCAGAGTTTTCCTCTAAAATTTTTTAGGACATCTACCCAAGTAAATATGGAACAGTAAGAAACAAAATATGCATGTGGCCAAAATTGAATCAAAATTGTTCGTGTGAAAGTCATCACTATGAAAAAAAAGTGTTTACGAAAGTTATTTATAATTTAAACAAGAATTTACAAAAGTTTATTTAACAATTTACAAGTGTTTACAAAAATAAAAAAATTATAACGCCATAATTTCTTAAGATAAAATTATAATAAAGTTATGTTGGAAAATAATAAAAATTAATTGAATTTAACTTTTAATACTTTTACACTATCACTGTTATTGAATTTATATAAATAAAAGTACGTAACCTATAATTATATTACGTTATTTAACTCCTTAAAGTAATGAAAAAAATATCCTTCTAAAGAAATGTAAATCAACCTAGGAAAAAAACTATATTTTGTTAGAAACAGTTCATTTTATTTAGGTGGCAAACAAAAGATTTGTTCATTTCACGATACTTTGCAATTCCATTGGAATTTTGGCATATTTTTTCTTTTATTTAGCTAGTTTAGATTTTTTTTATTGGAATTGGTTAATATATTATAAAAGAAAAACCACCCAAACTTAGCTAGTTCAGAATTGATTTATATTTCTTAAAAAATTACTAGAAGCTCGATACGAGATACTCAGTGACACGTACGAGGCATGAAAGTTGACAATGATCTTGACTTAGAGACAGACAGCACAGAAAAACAAATCTTCACATGGGCGTAATCAGAGGGTTAAACCTAGGGATGAGCAAAAACCAAACCGAAAACCGAAAAACCGAAAAAAACCGACATAACCGAAACCGAAAAACCGAAACCAAAGCAATAAACGACGGTTTAGGTTTGAATTTTACAAAAACCGAAAAATAACGGTTTGGTTCGGTTTTGACGTATAAAACCGCCCATAAAAACCGAACCGACCCACATATATATTATTTATATTATGATTTAAACTTTTAGTTTTAGATTTTAAACTTTATCTATTTAATACTTTATATTTATTTTCAACAAACTGTTAATGGTGTTAAACTTTGATCTTTTGAACACTTTTATGCTTTTATAATATTATAATTCATACTCTTTATTTTAGTATATTTAAAGTGATACAATACTATTTATCGCAATGTATTTTCACAAGGTTTGAACCCAAAAACTAGAAAAACAAACAGGAGCTCATAAACCCACGGTTTAAAACCGAAAACCCATAAACCCAACCCGTAAAACCGAAAAACCGACCCATGTAAAACCGAACCTATATGGTTTTAAAAACGAAAAAACCGAATTTCTACGGTTTGGTTTGGTTTTAGCAAAAAACCGACCCAAATCGAACCATGCTCATCCCTAGTTAAACTTAAACCAGTAGATAATTTATTTTTGTTAATTAAAATGTTAATGTAATTTCATTAATGTGTTTAGGATAATTAAACCAGTACGTAGATACCATCTATAATTCATGTCACCAGATTTATGCTCTTTTAACGCCATTCATTTCCTTATGCATGATTGATTCATGGTACAAATATCTTATACCAAATAAGCACACAGCAAATTAAGAACTTCATATATATACATATGATTTAGTTAATAATATATATCTCGTAGCTAATTAATTACAATGAATGATACTAATGTTGATGCCGGATCATCCTCGTCAGAAACAAACTTGAAAGAGCTGGTTGATGTGTTTTGTTTCACAGGGCTTTCAAACGTAAACTCAGCCGTTTGGTTTATTTATGGCAGAAAATACCAATTCTTATACATAGGAAACCTCTATCTATTCGGCAGCTTCTGGTTCATCATGCGACTATACTCCTTACCACTGACCACACTACTCGAATTCCTGTTTGTTGTTTTACAAAAAATCTATGTAACCTCCAACATAAACCTTGTACCATTACCCATGTTTATTTTGGGCTCCGTATTCATCATCATTGGTGTTATGGGTATTTCTGTCATTTACGTGTGGAAACGTGGTAAGATTTTTGTCCCCGATGATGAGGGTGAGATGATGTTTAAGGAGATTTTACATTTTTTATGCATAATTTTGGTGAATGGGTACACGATGTTGTGCAAGGGGTTTTTAAAAGAAGCAAACTATGTATGGCAAATATCGGGTGTTGTGCTTATTGGGGTTTTAGGGATTGTGGCTATAATATGTTGTATTTCACAACTCCTTGGGCGATGGAAAGAATATCGAAGGAATCAGGTTCGTGTAGTAGCCATGAGTGAAGTGGCTTCTTCATGATTTTGGAATTCTGGATTTTCTTTCCATACAAAAAAAGAGTATATAGACTCTTAACATACATTGAAATGAAACTGTATCGAGATGATATATTGTATTAGTTGGTTTGTTTGGTGTGTCGTGCTTTGTAACGCATGTACTTTGTAATTTCGTCTATCATCTTTTTAGTTTTTTTAATATATTTGCCTTTCAAAAAAAATTAGCTGATATATATAATGTATTTTCAAAAAGTATACCTAGAAACCAAACTTGAAACTGCAAAAAAAAAAAAAATGATTTATAATAGTCGTTATACAATCTAGTATAACGATCAATCTTATACGAACTATATCTATAATAAAGAATAATCTGGTTCATGCAATTTAGTATGATATTCAACTAATTCAATTTTTTTAATATTTTTCATCATATCTATGCTTTATCATTCGTCTGATATCCCAACAGATGTCGGGTGTTGTTTGATTATATACATTTATTTATGATTCTTGACGACACATTAATCCAGGAGCAAAGGCAAAGGACTGTGACCACTGAATTTTGCTTCGTTTAAGCATCATATCTTACAAGGACAAAATATTCTACTCCATATATTTTGGTTTTTATTTTCTCATGTTCCAAGAGCATATACCTGCAGCTGGCTCCCATCCACAGCCACTGCAAATACACCAGAATCATCCCCCACCAAACATGACACTGTGGCTCCTGATTCCACAAACATTAAAAAAGATATTTATAGAAATATTTCAGTTAGTTATTAGGCAAAAAAGGAAATATACATACCTGTGCAATGGGTGAGATAACCAAGCTTAGCACCTGAAGACAATTCCCATATGTACACAGAGCCCTCACATGTACACATGATTCCATACCCTGCTGATACACCTGCTACGGTGCTACTGCACACCACACAATTACTTACATCTCATTCTTACTAATCAAAACAACTTGTTACACAAAAATGTACCTTGCATCCAAATCATTCAGCAGAATCAGCTTGTTTTTGGCCAGCAATGCTAGACTCCAGCATCTACAATCTTTTAATGCTTTTTCGCCATTAACATGCTGATTTGAGACGGATGAAACAAGAAGAACGAGTGACACATCTTCGTTATCATGATTGTCTGTATGTGTTTCCTCCTGTTTCTTTTTACAACCACTTTTTTTTGGACACCTGAATGTATTAATTGGAAGGAAAGAAAGAAATGAAGTTCCTGGAGCTGAAAACTTTGATACCAGGATTTTTCTTGTTAGATCCCTGTAAAATCAAAAAATCAAAATGTCTGGTTCGATTCAACTTCATTTCAGGGAAGGAAAATAACACGTTAAAATTGAAGCTGCTTGCTTACCACAAGCAAAAATCTCCAAATGCAGTATGACCAACAGCCAGACCTGGGAAATTTGGTATTTTTTTCATAGAAACTACACAACTAGACATGCAATCAGATGTTGGTAAATACCCGTGTTCTGTTGCTGCACTAGAAGAGTGAAAAAAACACCAAAACAAATATGCAAATCATTCCTTGAATTTATATTTGTAAGTCATATCTAAAATATCATATAAAGAAACATACCTCCATGTTGAGTTCATGGTCCATAAATTCATTCTTCCAGTTTCTTCAGCAACAAGGAGGTAATTAGGTTCACAAACTAACATGCAGCATACATTGTTACTTGTTTTCAGTTTGCATACTACATGAACATAGCCTAGTTTTACTTGCACGATTTTAACTGCATTCTTCTCAAAGCTATCTGGTATACAGGCTGAAAACTGACACTTCACACCACCCTCCCTAAGAGTATTATTTATTATATTTAAAATAATATATATATTTTTTTTATGTCAGTTACCAATCATCAAACAATTGAAATATGTACATGAGCAATATCTAGCAAACCTGCAGTAAGGAGATGTGATGTTGTTCAGTAAAACAAGGCATTTGCCATCTGGAGTAAACTGCATGATCTAATGAGAGAAAAAAAAAAAAAAAAAAAAAAACTTGTTATATTGGTGAATTGAAAATGAATCTACTCTAGACTATAGATATGGAAGGAATAGTTTGACTTACTTGGTCACCAGATGCGTTTCTTGAAATTGGTGAGATAATTCTTGTGTGACCAATGAAAGAAGGGTGTCCTTTCTTTTGGCCTTTAATAGATGCCTTGTAAACAAAAAGTGTCCTGTCTTTTTCCATCAGATACCCACATAAAACACATATCAAGACCTCATTCCCTTTTCTTCTCAACATTACCATTGAGATTGGGGTTGGATGCATATAGCAACCTACAACCTCAAATACATTCTGTAGTTCATCATCATTGTGAAACTTATTTAAGCATGACTCATCTTTCACTTCTGCTTCATTATCCACCATTTTAGTCATCTCGCACTGAGTTGAAATCGAACTCAGTGGCCGTGTGGACTTAGCATCAACTGCAGTGGCCGTTCCTGAAACAATTCATTAAAATAATGGATGCTTTACATGGTTGTACTGTACCTTACAGAAAGTATGATGGTGAATAAGGATGTCATGCTTTATGATGCATTCCATCAACAACATAACTTCCCAACTGAACACACACAAACACAAACAAACCTTGAAAGTCTCAAACTTGGAACTTAGATCAGATTCGGAGGAAATTTACAATTCTTGGAAAGAATCTAACAACATTTCAGGCATACTTCTCAACTCCAATAGCAATTTGTACAAAAAATGATATCTTGAAGGATTAATTAGGGCTTCTAAGTATTAATATGCTTGTTGGATTTTTGTATTGGAAACTGCTAAGGATATCAGAAGATGATTTATAAAGATCGTTCCTGTTGTGAGATGATGATGATGATGATTCTAAGACCTTTGACTTTGGTTTGTGTAATATATTAAAGAAACGTGAATAAGATGACGAAATTGGTTCAAGATACGTTTACTGTTGATGACTATAAGTTGGACTTGATAGAATGGAACCAAAATGTCAACAACTTCGAAGTACATTGGTTAAATAGTAACTTGTCAAACTAAGTTTATGCAAATAATGATGAAAAAGTTGATGGAGCCCATTAAGTTGGTTAATTGTCAAAACAAATTTGGATGAAGATTTGAAGAGCATATGAATGTCGACATTTTGGTAAATAGTCAACTTCCTATTATGGTACCAAATGTAAAAAATGTTAAAGATTTGCCATGAGAAAAACATTAAGTTAAAGGATATATATATATATATATATATATATATATATATATATATATATATATATATATATAAGAATTGGCTCCAGAACACTACCTTCTATGTGACAAGGAGAGATTTTGACATCTGTTATCTTGGGATCCTTCCTGCTTGGAGATATGTTGCCCAAATCATAAGTATCCATGATTCTGCCACCCCTTTGCAGACTCTTCTCCAAAACCAACTCTACATCTTCATCAGACTTAGTTTTTCTGGTAGTTTCCTCAACATGACATGTATCTTCACTATTAGAAGAAACACGGTGCCCTTCATGGATGCATGATAAATCTACACCAGAAGTACTTTCATTTCCATCAGCTCTATCAGCATCTTGAAATTGTCTGGCCTGAGAGGACTCCATGGGTTCACATTGATGATTCTCAAAACTATCAGGTGCAATAGCTGTTGAATCTTCTACACCTTGATGATTCTCCAGTTGAAGTTCCTCAAAAGATTTGGCTGCCAATTAAGTAAAAAAAATCTTGATAAACTGACACTACATGTAAGTTAAAATTTTAATTGTGCAGATGTAATGCTGACCTGGAGGTTCATCTTTCGGGCATTGATTAGTTCCCTTTCTTTCCTCTTGGGACATTTTATAAAGATTTTTCTTTTTCTTTCTTGAATAAGTCTTAAGCAGAGGAAGAGCCCGCGGAAGCAGTAAAGTCATCATTGAATTGGTTATCTCATGTCCAACTGAATCTGAATCACTCTTGTAAGAATTATCACTCCCAATACCAATACCAATAACCATCTCATCTTTTGCCTCTGACTCTGTTACACCTTTTTCAGAAACTAAAATCCAGGCACCATTTAACTTTTCATTTATAGAACAGTTGGTTTCTTCAGGGATCACCTCTGCATAGAAAATTCTTGTCATCTACTACACAAACAGCCAAAAATATGGTAATAAGATTGTCAATGTATGTCAATACCTAAGGCTGAATCCAAAGTATCAGGTGCACGGAGGTCCACATCATCTAACATCTGTGAATCTTTTTTAGCTGGTGGGTCACCCTTTTCATCTGTGGTTTTCATAATGTTGTTATTTACTAGACAAGGCTTAAGAATAAGCATTCGATTAAAACACCAACAGCCAAATATATGGTAACAAAATTAGCAAAGAATATAAATACCTAAGGCTGGATCCAAAGTATCAGGTGCATAGAGGTCCACATTATCCATCATCTGTGAGTGTGAGCCTTTATGAACTGGTGGGTCTCCCTTTTCATCTGCTGTTTTCGAGGAAGTGAGCTCTCTTTTACAGGTAGATATCAATACATCAAGCTGTGAAAAAGCATTTCTGTGCAACATTAACTAACTACCAGTGAAATTATGTGTAATCCACCAAATTAGAGCAGAGATAACTGGTTAGGATGACACTTACATTTTCCTGCTTTTTGAACAAGTTGATACCTTCTTTGGAACCAATAGAATTGCTTGCTTCTAGGACAGCAGGACACTTCTCTTTTTCAAGATTTTCAGAAGAAATAGAGGAATCGAGCTGCAGTCCATCTTCTGTTGATATTAAATGAGATTTATTATCTCCTTTGCAATCCATCTTTTCCAGGCCTGGTTTATTTTCATTTGAATTCAACAAATGCAAAGGAATCCTATTGTTATGATTCTCATGGCCAGTTTGTGTCAGATCTTGAGGTCGCTCTCTTTTATGTTGGGTCCCACTGACTGATTTCAAATGAGCTTCTTTACGTTTCTTACTTCTTTTCTCTTTACCCTCGGTTTTAACCAAGTTGATTTGCAAATCAGGGTCTTTACATGTCTCTGCAGAATGCACAGTGCCTTGAGTATGATGTTCATGTGTTCCTTCAGACTGCTCATTGCCAAAGCAAGAAGATGGTAAACTTTTCTCAACAATTGGGCTGGCATTTGCCTTCAATCCCCTCAGTAACCTTGCAACAAGTGGGTTTTTGAATCCAAAAAGCTGCATTGTTAGAAGAAAGGAATTGCAGTTAGCACAATATGATTAATCACTTAAGAAGAATATATACCAAAGTTAGCACTATGATATACACTACACTAGAAGAAACCAGAATAGTTAAACTACCTCTGCACCATCTATCTTGCATGAAAATCTCTTCCCTCGCCAAAATTTGATGCGAACACAGCTCTTCTTTTGAAAGCCCTCCCATGCAATATCTGGAGTTTGCCCAGAGCAAGATTCCCCATCCGTAGAACTAATCTGCAAAGTTATCTTACTTATAGATTTCATTCTTGCTTCTTTTCAGTGATGAGTGAAATTAAGGATCCTAGAAGCTGGAAATATTAATGATTTATCCACTCACCGCAAATTCAGGTCCTTTAAGTCCCTCAAGAATTGCCATCTTATAGGTATTCCCATTACACATGCGATGAGCTACATATCCAACTGGATATGGATGTCGATCTTTGCCCTGAGAATACAAGAGAGTATATATAAAATAGTGATGAAAAATACACCCCATCTCCCCAAAAACTGAACCATTTGTTAAATTAAAACATCTGTAATATGAGGAAGAGTGGAATTAACTATCTTTGTTCGTTCCAAATCCTTCTTTCTATAATATTGTACTCATTTTAGCCACTCTGATAACTTAATATAACTTTTTTTACAAAGATAACCTTTCGATATGAATGTTTTATGTCCTCTAATAGACTGCTACCTAAGAACATATTCATCAATAAAACTACTTTGAGTTAACTGTAACACTATGCAAGTTCATGCTGATTAAAACTGATTGCCCTTAGTGTTAACCATCTTTCTAAGCTCAATATGAATCAGATCCTCTAAGTTGGATATTACTAGCTCAAAATACAAGTTATACCATCATAGTTAGCACTATAGCTTATCCAACTCTCCTTGTTTACCAAAAACGGAAGAAAGAAGACCTATTCCCTTAAGGACAATATGCAAACAGTGAATCAGACATTCAATACATATACTTGCCTCTGAATCTAACTCTATCTTGTATCCAGTCATGTGATGTGGCACGAATTAGTCTGCATTCCAACAGATCATAGTCAGGGGTGGTTCGCTAGAAACTGTATTTGGTCTTCGGTTAAAATAAATCAACTATTAATAGCTTAAGATACGGTAAATTTTCATTCAGATGTACTAGATATATCTCTACTTTGTCTACATTTGCCCTAACCTAATCCAATTTGCAGCGGATTCTGCCTTAGGTCAAAATCAAATCCATTCTACGGCTTAATCATGATCGATAGCTCCAAATACAAGTCATATAATTAGCATACAACTCGCTCATAAGTAACCATACATATGAAGCGGTGAAAACGTGAAAGATGGAATTAACAAACCCTGGATGAACTCCAATACTTCTTCTCCCATGGACCTTGATATAACTTTCCGATTGAAACAATATCCAGATCGTCTGATTTCTCGTCGACGACCTGCTCCGCCATTGTATTGTGCCAAGCGAATTACTGTGTATGTTGCTCGTGCGTGTGCGTGTGTGTGTGTGTGAGAGAGAGAGAGAGAGAGAGAGAGAGAGAGAGTGTGTGTGTGTGTAAATGTAGCGGGAAATAAAAAGGTAAAAAATGGTGTTCGCGTTTCCCTCCCAAATAGACGAGATGGTCACACACTCACACGTGCAAAAAAAAAAACGCCGTTGCCGGGGATCGAACCCGGGTCACCCGCGTGACAGGCGGGAATACTTACCACTATACTACAACGACTTTGTTGAAAGTAAAGATATATATTTCGTAATGTTTGATAATACTTTTTATTATGGTTTTTAGTAGTCTTAACATATAGGATATACCTTAATTATATAAATATATTAAAACACATGGACTATTTCAACATGAATATTTTTGGTTTTAGAGTTTGACCACATAATTTTCAATCTTTGATAATTTTATTGTTTATTGTTTTTCAATTTCTCATATAATTTTCACTGCCTTTTCTAAAAAGAACTCTTTCAACAGAAATATTTTTTTTAGAGTTTGACCACATAATTTCAAGTTTTGATAACTTTAGGCCCCATTGTTTATTGCTTCTCAATCTCGTCACAAAACTTTCACCGTCTTTTTCTAAAAAGAATGACCTCGTATGTTGCACGAACCTTTTCCTAATTGGAATTAATTTAAAGTGATATTAAATTGCAATGATTATTCCGCATTTACTACATCCATAGTTTTAGGTTTTCTTTATAAAGAGTACTTAAGTAATATCATGTATTGTGTATATATATATATATATATATATATATATATATATATATATATATATATATATATATATATATATATATATATATATATATATTGTGAACAAACAACTTTTATAAACACATGAGTCTGGCAATTCACTAGATTAGAAAACAACAAGATTACATTGGTTTTCTAACCGATCGATCCAATTAACACAGCAGTTAAACATTCTAAAATAATAACAAGGATAAGAAAAAAGAATAATATTATCTATAATATTGTTCTTCCTCATACTACATTTGTCAAACAAGATTTCATTCCTAAAAAGCCATACATCCAACACGTAACAATACACACCACTTCCAATTTGGACTTCTTCCAATTAACCAAATTGATGTCATCCACCCAAGAGAGCTAATCATAGATTGACCAAACTTTGGGCACCAAAATGGCACACCATTTCTCAAATAGAATTCTACACCTCAACCGCAACAAAGCAAAGTATATATACATGATTTTACATGTATATATAATGAATGTATACATACATGATTTTATTTATGTATGTATTTTTAGAACATTCATACATTTTCTAATCTACTCTTAAGTTGCATTATTATTTCAGATGAGATTCAACCCTCGGTCATTTTGTCTTAATAACATAACACAAAATATATCACTCTCTGTAAGCATTTTGTTATTTATTTATGTAACACTCTAATTCTAGTATAAGTTACGCCCAAAATTTTATTGTATTTCATATAGTATATATATATATATATATATATATATATATATATATATATATATATATATATATATATGGTGTATATTAGACTAACAAATGATAATGTCATATCAACAAACACTACAAAATTATATTGTTTCTCCAATAAGTGTTATATAACTATAATATCATGTGTAAGCATCTATCTTTTATGTTTTTATGTGATCTCAAAGGCAACTAACTCGTGCTACTAATATATGTACCTAGAATTATTAAACATAACAACAATGATAAGCTACAAATAGCTTAATTAGTGAGTAACATATAAAGATTATATATAATTGTTTATAAATATCTTAACAAATCAACATATGATAGCATAAACATAAACATATAAAGAGTAAAATACTTTGTACATACAGTCAACCTCGTTATGATTAATGCTTATACTAAGTCTTATGTAATCATCTCCAAATAAATCAATACGAGTACATCCCCATGTGGAGTTAATATAAGTACATCCTCATTTGGGAACAATAAAAGTGCAACAATGCATCTCTCTTTGGGACTAATAAAATGCATCCACATTTTTTGACCAATGGTAATGGTAGTATGTGACAACTATATGAATTAGGTTGTCGTTAAACGAATAGTGTTAGTCTAATCATTGTTGTAGTAGACTTAATGTGTGATAAATATATGGTTTTGTTGTTGGTGGGGAATTTTACTTTGAAATACAGAAAAAATATCAATCAAGTATTGGATTGATATGAATCCCTAATAAACGAACAATGTCATTATACATAAGGAACGGGTTAATGCATATGATTGAAAGAAATATATATGTATTAGACATTATTATGTGGTATCAATAGGCTCATCACCCAACCCATAAAAATAGGAAAAATTTAATGTAAATAACGTTAAAAACGGAGTTCGTATGCAAAACATATGATCATTTCAAGAAAACGAATAATCGGGTAACAACTCACCGCCTGATAGGTGTTGAAACACGAACTTCAAATGAAAAACGAGACATCTTAGCAAATGACTTTTCATTCCCAGGAAATTTTTCTATGGGTCTCATTTAGTTTAGGAATTTATCATGTTTCTAACTTATCATCCTGAAAATACCCCAAGTTGTTGTGGATAGGGGTGAATGGCTAAGGTCACCTTCTTCCCCAAGTAAACTTCGGATGATCTATAGACTCATTTCCAAGTTTCGTATCAAAAAGTTAGTTATATATTATAGATCAGGTTTTGATGTAGTGTTTGATTTAAGAGCTAACTTTTTCGTCTCGCGTCGTACCAACTCTTTTACGAAGTTAAAGTTCGCAATTGTAATTGGATAATGCCCAAAAATGACATTCAAACGCTTTGTTAGGATAGCTACGATATCAATCAATGACTAGAAATCAAACCGTTTTTTCTTAGTAAAACATCTATTATTTGATTTCGTAAATGTAGCACCTGATTCCTGGGACGCATTTAATTTGAACATTTCTGTATTTTCTATGGGACCTGACGAGTTGGTGGCCCAACTCGCCGAGTAGGGTCGCGATTCGCGGGCATTTTAAGTGAGCTACTCGACGAGTCGGGAGACTGACTCGGTGAGTAGGTTTTATATGAGGGAAACCCTAAATATGAGGGTTTGCACCTTATTTAAACGCCTTATTGCAGCCTCCCTTGTCCCTTATGCTCCCTGAACACCTCTTATCGAAACCCTAGCCGATTTGAGTGATCTAAGGCCATTTTTGGTGCATATGGGTGGATTGTGAAGCTTGAAAAGAGGAAGGAAGCTTGGGAGTTCGAGTTGGGGCTTGTAGATCCAGAGATCTTATTCCATCTTCAGCTCAAGCGAGGTAAATGCCCCTGTTTTGGTCTTTCTTTTGGTTGTTCATCTTTAGGGCTTAGATTTTGGGTGCATTTAGGGCTTTCTAAGCCATTTTCGGATTTGTGAAGTGATTCATGGAGTTCTACTTTCAAACATGAGTTGTTGGAGGGGTCTCATGGCAAAAAGGTGCCAACTTTATGGCCATGAGAGCCCCATTCACATTGTAGAGCACCTTTTTATGATTTTTTTTGAGCTAAAAACCCCATGCATGTGCACCAAGTTTGGATCATTACGTATAAAATGGACATTAGGAGGCCAGATATATGGTTTTGATGTGTTAAGACCATTTAAATCGACTGTATAGTAATGGTCAAGGATGGACTCGTCGAGTTGTTCTTGGGACTCGGCAAGTCGAGGCGTAATAACCGCCAAATCCATTATGCGAATGGACCAGTTGTTAGGGAGGGAAGTCCCGTGGATGTTTAGACGCGTAAAGGACCTAAGAACCATGGGTCTCGACGAGTGTATGAACAGACTCGGCGAGTCCAAGGCAATCTCCCAACCCTTGAAGATGGACTCGACGAGTTGTTCTACAACTTAGCGATTCATAGATTGGACATGTTCTTATAAAGGAGATGAACTCGCCGAGTTCAAGGAAGAACTCGGAGAGTTGGATGAAGATGGTCCTGATAGTTTGCAAGAAGAAGAACCCGTCGAGTTCTTGCTAGACTCGACGAGCGGAGGCGGCCCAACTCGGCGAGTCAGGTCAACTGGATATTGACTTTGACTGGTTATGGTATTGACCCTGGTTAGGGTCATATGGTATGTTTGATGACTTGAGAATTGTCGTGTAGGGATTGAGGAGTCGAGGGGAGCCGACCTTCATGCGGGGGGCAATTCAGACGCTACATGACATCGAGGTGAGTTAGCTTCGAGTAAGGGTGGGTCTAAGGCCACAATGTCGACCCACCAACAAGAATATTTAGTAAGTAATTGTCTTTGTGATAATTATCTGAGTTTGGATGTGTGACTTGGTCTTGAGATATGCTTACGTAATATGAACGTTGTGTTAGTGGTAGTGTCAGGGAATAATCTTTCTCTGGCATAGGTCGTTAGGACCAATGGGTAGGTCAGTACCCTGATATGTATGATTGTATGTTTATACCTTGTTACTGTATGCTAGTGGTAGGGGTGAAATAGTCCCCAGTTACCTGTTGAAAGATACCGATGGTAGTTACCGGTAGAAAGATACCGATGGCGGATACCGGTCGAAAGATACCGATGACAATTACCGGTTGAAAGATACTAACGATATGATATGGTATGCGGTATGATGGGGGAACTCGCTAAGCCTTGTGCTTACAGTTTTTAGTTGTGGTTTCAGGTACCTCTTCGTCAAAGGAGAAGGAGTCGGCGGTGTAGCAGCACATCACACACATGATTTCCGCATGGAGTTTTCTAGGATTGTACTCTGATTTGTATTACTTTCAATGATATGGTTTTCAGACACGTTGTTATGGTTTTTTTATAAATTGATATGACATTGGCAATGTTTGGTAAATTATGTTATGAATTATTTAATTTAAAATGAAATTTTTGGCCTCGATTTTTAGGATGTTACAGTAAATAAATACATTGCCACTTGAAATTTCCCGCCTACTGCTAGCCTCTGCCTCGTCAAAAAAGCGAGAACTGCAAGAACAGTCGGCTGTCGTCTCTTTTTGTAACATCCTAAAAACTCAGATTGAATTATCGCTTTTAAAATAATATAACATCTATTTTTAATAAGGTTACATTCAAAATAA